GTTCGTCAGTGTAGAACAGACTCAGATTGTGACTCACTGAAACGATGCTGCGCAGATGGTTGTTCAACGTCATGTTCATATCCTGCAAAAACAACTGGTCAAATCTAATTCACAATAATCGTTACACTTGAAAATTTAATTTAACAAAATGAATCTTTTGAGCAGCCAATTGAAACGTGTTCTCATCCGCATAAGCGTTGACCCAAGCGTGGTCATCGGTTCAAGCGGATGAGGTCATAAATCGGCGTGTGCATTTCATGCAATATATTATACATTTTAGCAATTTCTTAAGCATTGATTGACAAGAATTTGCGGAGCAATTGACTCTGACACTCATTAGATTCAATGTAATTTTCAAACCATCAACTGATTTGTGGTCATTGACTATGATTGCAGCGTGCATTCATTCAGCGATAGTAGCAAAAGTTCTTAAAACGGGTGCTGATGTGAGATGTGATGAGAACGGTAAATTTCGTTTGATTCAATGTGATGCGCGAGGATGTTATTGCGTTAACACCGACGATGGAACTGAGCTTCTGAACACTCGAGTTGCTATTGGTGAAACTCCTGAATGTGACGGTAAATAGTTCGTTTTTTGAGACAGTTCGTCAAAAAATTTGTCAGCTAAAGGCATTCTCGATCACGAAATGAAGCACGAATAAATCAGTAGAACGCAACGTTTAGTATAAACGCAAGCGATCTGCAAAAAAAAAAACTGCATCAGATTCAACTCAACCAACTCTAAATGAACATTACATAAAGCGGTTTCAGTCACACATGTAATGTGTTCACCTTCGATTTGCACGAAGCAATGCGAGTATGGTTTCGAGGTGTCGTTCGACGGTTGTCCTTTGTGTGAATGTCTGAATCCATGCAAAAATGTTCACTGTGCTCAGAAACAAATTTGTGTGATGTCCGATGTGCAGTGTTTCCAACAATCGCATTGTCCAAAACAACCGCGTTGTAAGTGAATTTTTAAACAATTTGCGTTTTTGCTGATGTATCCTTTCGTAGTCCTCTCGTTCGATTTCGAA